TCAACATTTACTTGTATAATGTTAATTAATATGAAACTGAGGGAGGACAGGAAGCTTGTCTAGTTTTTTTCAGCCCCTGTACATCTAGTACAAAGCAGAGTGCTTGGTCCTCAATACATATTTCTTGAATAGATGATGTTGCTCTCCAACTCAAATTGCTGCCTTCTCCATAAGATCTAAACTTTCTAGCAGGGCCTACCAAGGAATTTGTGATCTCATTCCTGCTTGATCTACAACTACCACTCCCCTCGAACCTCATGTGCCAGACATGCCAAGCTTTTTGCAATTCCCTCCAAAACATCATGTCTGTCACTCTGGGGACTCGGCAGCACTCTTCCCTCTTCCTGGGAAACCCGTTCCCTCTTGAGTGTCTGTGCTTGGTGCTGGGGATCCCTCAGTGAATGGTGGGAAGGTAGATAGAAACAAGATTGGTAAGTCAACAGCATGTTAGTGAGTGATGAGTGGCAAGAAAAGCAGTAGGGAAAGTGGACAGGAAGTGGGAGAGGGTGGGATTTGAGGTCAAATGGCTAGGGAAGGCCTTACTGAGAAAGTGACCAATGGAATCTTCTGAACAAAAGTGAAAGAATCAGCCAGGTGAATCTCCAGGAAAAGAGCACTCCAGGCAAAGGGAGTACCAAGTGCAAAGGCTGCAGAGCATGAAATGAAGGGGACTGAGGCTCAAAGGGGGGCAGTGAGAACCAAGAGCAAGCAGGGTCCTTTGAGTCCAAGGAAGAGAGAATTTCAAGGAGGAGGAATAGTCAAAGCAGCCAAATGCTGTGCAGATGTTTGGCAAACTGAGGCCAGGGACAGCTTGTGCTTTCTGAAGCCACGCTGCAGAGGGAATAAGGAGTAAAAGGGAAGCGAGACAGCAGCAACAGCCAGTATAGACTACTCTTTCAAGGTGTCTTGATGGATAAAAGCGAACATTCCTAAGCTGTGGCAGGGTTCTAGAAAGGTTTTATAGGATGAAGGAGACTTAAGTTTGTACAGCTGAGCGGAGGAAGCAGAGTGAAAGGAAACATGAAGGGGTTGGGGTGAATGACTTATGGGGTAAGATCTTCCTAGAGCTGAGAATAGAGCCGAGGAGGAGGGCCTGGCCTGGCTGCTGGGGGTATGCATGAACCTTTTCATCAGAAGCTCCAGAACTTCCCTGTTCTCCTTTCCTTCCCAGTAGGAGGTTTAGAGCCCTTTGCTCTTTAAAACTACTACCATCCCATTCTATCCCTCAGGTTCTCTAGTCCTCACTGTCTCGAAATATCACCAGTCATGACAAGAAACTGTAAAATCTATACAGGGTTCACGTTAGCGAATAGAAAACAGAGAAGCAAGATGCTGGAGAAGTGAACTTCAATTTTCTGTTGAGAACCTGAATTAACTAAAAGCTGAATAAAGGTCCTGATTTGTCTGGCTGACAATTTCCTCTCTCAGAGACTAGAGCAAAGCAATTATGCTGTTTAACTGAACGGAATGGGTAGCTATTACTCTGGATCCAATTCTGCCCAACAAACAGGAACTGGCTAGGAGAAAGCCACCAGGTCCTGACAGCAAGGGAGGAGAAGTCTGAATACAGGCAGCTATGTACCTCAGACTTCATAAAGGCAGAAGTGACTCCATGACATGAGAAATGGACTCACACCCCATAAGCCACAGGACATGGAAGAATATTTAGGATGCTTAGCTGAGAAGCTGTGACTCAGAAGATACATGGTAATTGTTTTCTCATATCTGAGGGGTTGTCATGTGAGAAACTCCATTTGTTCTGTAGGGCTTCTAGAGGCATAAATGGGACTAATGGGTGGAATATTATAGGAAGAAAGCAGTATTTCAGATCGTTACAGGGAAGGTTTCCCAAATAGTCATGCAATCCTAAGGCAGAATGGCTTGCCTTAAGGCAGAAAGTTCAAATGCAATCTGGATATTCAATAAGTGGATGCTGTAGAGGTAATTCAAAAAACAGAGGGTGATGTGACAACTGTGGCATTCCCACACTTGAGTGGTGAGGTCAACTGTGAGGTGTGCTGCAAGTGATCTGTTACAATAATAACACTGAAGTATGTGATTTATTGTCTTTAGGTTCTGGGTTATCATTATAACACTACTTGCATTATTAAATATTTTCTTGAACAAAAGTGAAAGACTCCACGCTGCTGGGTAATGCTCATGAGAGTGTTCTGCTCAAGTGTGTTTATAGGCTAAAAAAGGTGGAGAATTATCAGGTTAGACGATTGGTGGATCCCTTCTCAATCTAAGATTCCTTGGAGGCAGGTGGCACCCCCTCCTTCAACCTAATTATGATCTACTGGTGAGGAGGTGGTCACTGTATATTGTAGAATAGATCATCTAAGTCTGTCACCTGATAGATATTCGTAACAAGTCCTGGGAGTACATCTGAACTCTACAGAAAGGTATGGTGAGGACTAGATATATTATATGTTTGTGTATTTTAATTTTCACACAATAGTCATTCAGATGATTTCAATGGGACCAAAGGAAAGTTTACACTTTCTTTAAATCAGAATGGCTAGAGATAACATAAATATGCCTAGAAAAACTAAGCAGACAGAAGGTATCTGATCACCTGGTATAGTGGGCTACTGGACAGCTTGTGATTTCTGGCACCTCATATTTTTTTTATTATAAAATTTTTTTCAATACAAAGTATTATTTGCTTTTTGAAATATTAAAAATTTTTTCCTCTAACCAAGAACTGACATGAACTGGTAACTGACAGAACCTGAACTTAGACAACCTCACCCCAATCCAAGCTGGAACTGACTTTCACTTTTCATCTGCCTGGACAAATGGCCCTGGCAGAAACTGCTGTCACAAAGGCCAACTGTGGAAGTGCCACCATAAAAATGCTTAATTGACCAACTGAGGCCTTTTCGTAGTCTTCCCTGACTCCTTTTCCATGCCGTTTTTTTGCTGCTCTGCCAAATAAAGAGATGTAAACTGCTCCTCTGGAATGAAAGAAAAACTAAGAAGATGTAAGGTATCTCATCACCTGGTGTAGCGGGCTACTGGACAGCCCATGATTTCTGGCACCTCATAATTTTTTTATTATATATATTTTTTCCTTATAAAACCATTATTACCACATTTGGAAACTAGAGAAAAACAAAAAATCACGATCCCATTATTCTAATAAAATCCTAATTAAATGTTTTGCGTTTTGGTGCATTGCTTACTTTTCTTCAGGGCTCTCTTTATATCAATTTAGCTTATTTATACCCAACCTCCTATAAAAGGACATGCAGCAACTTACATAAATACTATCATCAGGCAGACAACTCCATTTCTCTCTCCTAACACAGCCTGTCCTCCTGACTTCCTGATTTCTAATTGTGGGTTCCATCTCCCTGTGATCCAGGTTGAAGCCTTGGTACCATCTTAGACTCCTCACCCTCAACCCCAGCATCTATTTCCATAGATTCTTCTGTTATCCCTTCCTCCCATCTGCCCATCCCACCCCCCACTGATACTGCTACCACCTCCAGTCCAGGTCCTTACCCCTAAACTATTGTAATGTTTCTCTGACTTGCTTCCCTGCCTCTCCTTTCTCTCCTTTTCTTTCACAGAGCAGAGATGTGAACCTGGGGGAAAGGGAAATACCAGAAGTGAGGTCCACAGTCATCTGGCTTTTAACCTGGGGACACTTTCACACTGTGGCTCAGGATAGTGGAGTCTATGCAGAGAACAGGTATGTCCAAGGCTGTGCACACAGCAGAGACCGCTCAAAATGTAGAAACCAACCCAGTATTTGCTTTTTTAAGCAGGCTGCTTCAATTTTGAATTTTAAAAATATCTAATTTCTCTAAAATTTCCATGAGAACTTTTCTTATTTTATGCTTTCTCTTCCTTGAAATTTTCTTGCAATCTTGCCCATAGTTCCAAGAAGGGCTCCCACTAGAAGAGGGTAAAAATATTTTTAGGCAATGATGTTTTACTTATTTATTTTTTATTGTTTTTTTGGGGGGTGGGGATGATGTTTTTTGTCTCTCATCGGTCTATCTACTAAGTTTCACTGCCTATTATAGAAAAGAGATTACACACTGAACCTATGGAGTTTTGCATCAGTGGGAGATGAGAACATCTTTGCAATGTTTTAAAAGACTAGGCCACTGGGCCATCAACACTTTGTGGCAGCCTGAAACTGCACGGGTGGAAACCCATCATGGGCAAGTCTGCAAAGACCATGTCAGTGCCAAGGCCATCTCTATGAATGACCAAAGCTAAAGCAGTCACTCAGATACACCCTAGGGAGGGGCAAGAAGTAGCTGCAGACTTGTAAGCAGCACATCTGGGGAGGCGTTAGAAAGGGAATTGATGAGGTTTCCTCTTCTTACATCCTACATACTTTTCCTTTGAGAGCCAATTGCTGCTTTCCCTTCCTCCTACTACTTGTATAATTTCCAAAGACCACTGGCCTCAATTCTGCTTTTTCTTGCTTAGCAACATCCCAAAGAATGTTTCAAGAGCTCCTAATGGTCTGCTTTTCACAATTTGCTGGGAGTAGGCCAGGCTTCTTCAGGTCAGGCCTGGAGAGGCCTTTCTCAGGGAAGGTGTTCCTGCCACCCACTGCAAAGCATGCCTTCGGAAAGTACCCCTTCAATTACCCTAATCTGGTGTTAAATTCAGGTAAAGACGCCTATGCGTCTCCTAAGCAGAGCCCTTAGGGGCTTTCTTTCTATAATACTTTACACCCAAACTGGAACTAACGGACAGGCAAGGCCTGAAATTAGTTCTTCTGCCCTCACTGCCACCTCCTCTGAGGCCCAAGAAGAGTCCTGGTAAGAGGACATTTCTCATTCTCACCCTCCCCAAAGTCATCACAGGAACACAATCTTAAAGTCACAAGTTCAGGAACAAAGCAAACCTAGCCTTGCACATTAAGCTGCTGGGGAGTGAGGGTCGAGGGGGAGGGTACCAGGCAGTCAGGCAAACCACACTGGTATGCAGACTGCCTGCTTCCCAGAATGGTACAGAAATTTCCATCCTACCATCAGTGAGTGGCTTGCAGGAGAGGGCATCATCGAGGTCTCGGGCAGTTGATGGGTCAATGGTGAAGATACAGTCTTTTCTAGGAAAGATTTAGGATATAATTAGCAACTCCACAAATAATAGAAACTTTACCCCACTATAGTACAGCTTTAAAGAACAGTTAATTTATTTAGCAAATGTGCTCTGTCAGGCAAAGTGAAGAATAACTTCTATAGTCTCTCTCTGAGAAGGAGATCTTTAATAAAATGTGAGACTGGGGAAAGACAAATGGTGAGTGTCTTTCTCTTCCTCTCTGTGAACTGGCACCTACTTCTCCTTGATCCCCAGCAAGAACAGGTGTGAGCAGGTGGAAATGAGGCAGCTTCCATGAAAAAAAAAAAAAAAAAAAAAAAAAAAAAAAAGATGCACCGTCAATTCAACAATAGCTTTATGGGGAAATAAAAACCCCAACACACTAAATAGATGCATGGATTTTAAGGTACTTCAGGATTCCAGGAATGTCAAATGTTAAAAAAAAAAAAACCCCAAAAAGTTAATCTTGAGCTGGCCAGCTAGCTCAGTTGGTTAGAGCATGGTGGCAATAACATCAAGGTCCAGGGTTCAATTCCTGTACTGACCAGAAAAAAAAAAAAATCCTAAATGTAAATGGATACCCAAACTGTGGTACATCCCCACAATGGAACTGTACTTAGCAATAAAAAAGAACAAATTATTCATGCATGCAACAGCTTGAATGAATTTCAAAGGTATCCTGAGTAAAAGAAGCCACTCTCAAAAGCTTACATACAAGTGTGATTTCACTTATATGGCATTCTCAAAAATACAACATTATAGTGACAGAGAGCAGATCAGTGGTTGCCAGGGTCTGGGAAAGGGGTGCTCGTCAGGGGAGTGGGGGTGGGGGGTGACACAAAACTTTCCTCATTTTGATTGACATGGTGGTTACACAAATCAATACATTGTAAAATTCATACAACTGTACACCAAATAAAGGTCAATTTTACAGTTCATTAATTTAAAAATAAAAATATTAAAGTGTGATTTTTGAATCCAGAAAAATAAATGTGTTAAATGTTCATAGGGTTGATCAATGGGTGCTAGAACTACGTATTAATATTTCCCCCTTTACATCTGTTCATATTTTAAATTTTTTTACTGCAGTTAAGTACTCCTTTTGTAAATGGAAAAAAAATTACACTACACAGTATCTTCCTCAGTCAAAAAACAATTGTCCATTAGATACATAATATTGCTTATAAGATGTTTTTAGCTAACTTGTAACATTTATTTAGGCTTCTCTTGCTTAATATAGTCAATGGCTTTAAAATTACAGATCTGGTAAAACTATATCCCCACTGGTACACTATGAAAAGAGGGCAGGGAAAGGTGGGTGCCACTCAGGTACAGGAAACCAGAGCATTTAGAGTGTAGTCCAAGAAAGGGTGGTTAATCAGGAGACCCACTCTCCCACTAAATATTGCAAACAGAGTATGAGAAACACAAAAGTTGAAGTCTCAGTATATGCAGAAATAATTTCTGTTCCATTGTACAGAAGAGGTTGTAAGCAAGAGTGATAGTATACTCCCCAGGGCTGCAGTCCCAAGCCCTTGAACAGAGGCTGCAAATCAGAAGTGTTTGCTGAATAAATGGATGGATGGTAAAAGGAAGAGCAGAGGAGGTGAAATTAGCCATCACACCACAGCAATGGGCTCTAAATTGGTGTTGATCTTGAACACAAGGTGAAGAAGATACCATCTGCTCCTTGCTCCTTTTTGTATCCCCCCCATAAAACCTAACTGAATGCTTTATATACACTGAGTACTCAGTAAAAAAATACTTGAATAACTGAAACTGAAATGTCAGGTGTGGTAGTGGAAACATTTTGGTCCTCCTTCTTGAATCATAATGACATTATAAGAAGTTGAAAGAAGGCCTCCCTAGACAAAATCAAAAAGACTACTCTGTTAGCTTGGTGGGGGAGGGGGCAGGCAGGGAGCCACATTTTATTAGCTTACTTGGAGTGTTGACTAGGAAGTTATACTTGCTTAAAATTAAATGTTTCTGGGTGCTTTGAAACTTTCATTTCTATGGATATAGTGTATAAATGATAATGCTCACTAAAGCAATTGCAGCCCCAAATTGATCCAGCCATACACTACAGAGTAAGCCTTCTATTGTTAGTTTGTAAACATCTTCGAGAGGACCCACAATTGTTTTCTAAGGAAAATCCTAAACTAGCCTGTAAGCACTCCAACCAATTCTGTACTACCTTTTGTTTTTTAAATCTGCTCTTAAACTAGAAACACAAAAGTCTAAATTAAAACTGAACTCTGAGGGGGCCGGCCCGGTGGCGCACTGGATAGTGCGCTGCTTGGGAAGAGCGGCGGCGCTCCCGCCCGAGGGTTCGGATCCCACATACAGACCGGTTCCCGCTCACTGGCTGAGCGAGGCGCGGGAGCAACATCGAGGTTTGCGATCCCGTTGCCGGTCTCCAGTCCGGTACGGGGGCAACACTGAGGGTTGCGATCCGTTGCCGGACATGGAAAAAGACAAAA